CCAGTTTGTTCCCTTGCATACTCTGGTCCACCAAGAGCACCTTAGAATCCCAGACCTATTGGATATTAACCCAAAGTGTTTTTAGGCTTCATCAGTGAATTTCTCGTTTTTCTCCTTCCAGAGAAGCTTATTGCACTCTTGCTACCACCCCTAATTTAGTAAAAGTTTATCTTTAACCTTTCCTTTGTGTTTTACCTCTGGTTGTCTCAGTTCCCAAGTCGGTCTTAATTACTTATAAGCCAAAAGTTTCTGGTAATTCTGGACTTTGTATTTGTAGTGCCTTCTATTTGAAGTGCTGTGTATTTGTACCTGCTTTTCTATTTCCCTAGAGCCTTTTTATATTTTACTATAGAGCAATGTTCTTTGGTTAAACACAGGAAGACTGTTAATGTTATGCTCCTAATATTTGGGAGTTGATTGACTCTTAAATATATCTGCTCCTGGGCATCTGTCATAATTACTTGACTCAGGCTTCAGTTGCTGTAGTTCCCAACATCCCAAAAGGGAGGTCCCGCCGTGGGACTAGGATGGACCTAGGATGAATGGCAAAGCTACCCCAGCATCAGAACGGGACAGTCTAGAAAGCATAAATGCATGGTTTTGATGCAAGCTGTTATGACTTAAGAGACAGGGTCCCATGGGAAAAGACAAGCTGAACTGGCCTGAGGAGACTTAGTTTGGTATTTACAGTAAACGCCTTGCTTGCTCTCAGAGCCCAGAGAACTCAGTGTTGGCATCTTTGTCTCTTACTGTGTTTATCCATGCAACTGCAAGTAATGATAAGAAGTAAACTTAATTGTTTAACATATACGACTAGAGGGAAAGACAAAAGCCATGTAGATGTCCCCTGGGAGACAGAGTGTCTCCTTGAGTTAACCTCCCCAAGAGAATTGCCTCTGCCAAATGTTCTATCTCTGTAAATGATCAATCACACCTAATCCTGTACACCAGTGTTCTATAAGTATGCTAGCAGCGCTGCATTAAACAGGCCATTTTCACCATCAGGCTGTGGTTCTCCCTCCCCTCCCCCACCCCCCCCCCCCCACACACCCCTTCTCTGTCTCTCTGCTGGGGAGGCCTGGGGGAAGATTCGGTGGCTCTCAGCACCGAATGTGCATGCTCGTGAAGCACCCACTTATTATTTTGTGAACTCACACAGACCCAGCACCACTGGTTTAGTCCAAGCAACCCCTGACCACAGGGCAGAGCAGAGCAGCACTTCATCCTGGGGCCTCACATTCACCTGCCCGCCTGGTTGACTGAGAATCCGTGGTGGGGGTGGGGGTGGGGGACACTCAGCATTCTGAGCACTGCTTGGGAGCTCCCCCAAATCTCCCAAAGGGACAAAAGGAATAAATCTTCCAAAAGCAGCTTGCAAGTTCAAGATGTAATCCGTAAGACTATGAGAACAGCTATAAAATCTTTTGGCTTACCCCAAAACAAGAGACCGGAGAATATCTAGAAGGCAATCATCTTGTTATTTTAGAGTTTTCTTTTCTGAAATTGTCCTTTTTATTTTTAAAAGTAATTTTAAGTGGAAACATTGATACATTTTTTTTCTAGATGCTGGGTCTGGTGGTACCCAGGGAGTATGCAGTGCCAGGGAGCAATCCCTGGGCCTAGAACCTGCTAGATTTGTGCCTGTCCCCTTGAGTCATATCCCTGGCTCTAATGGTTGCTTCTGAAGAAAATATTTATGTGGATTCAGAATGTGGCTTCTCCAGAGATCTCTTTGGATTTGGTGACTGTTCACTCTGTAAAGAAGATTATCAGGGTTTTAAATGTTTTAAATGTGTTATCAGGGTTTTAAATGTTTTAAATGTGTTTTGAAGAGATAAGTAGGAAATTCTTGAGGTGTCTAGGAGGATCCGTCTGAGAGGAAGCTGGCAGGAGCCGAGAAGAGGAAGGGCAGAAGGAAATTAAAAACAAAACAAAACAAAACAAAACATGAGTGTTCCAGCGTTGGACTGCTGTAGGCAGATGGAGAGGGAAACCCTGCCCATGTGGACTGGGGACAGACAATATCTGGAACTTGAACCAGCCGAAGGGCAAGAAGGCCTTTGAAATACAGGACCCATCTAAGGATCCTAGAGAGCTTTGGATAGGCAGAATTCCAGGCCTAGCAGGTTGGTTGAGTCCCCTAGGAGGACAAAGGACGTGAGAACAAATATACTAAGAATATCAAACAAAAAACCATCCACATTTCCTAGCTCCCCGCCTTGTTGACACCCAAGCACAGACTTTGGGGCACAGTTTGGGAAAAAAGTATAAAAACTGAGGAGTGGCCCAAGCTCTGCTTTGGTTGGGCATATACTCTAGCATCTTGTCTTGAGCGCCTTATCCTTTCTGTCACCTCATATCCCCCAAATAAATTTATCATACTTCACTGGTCATCACCTTCTTGGAATTCTTTTCTTTGAGGGCAAGAAATGGGCAGAGATTAGGACTGATTTTTACTTTTTTTTCCTGAAAAAGCAATTCCTCCCACCTGAACCCATGGGTCCCTGAGAAACCCTTGGGTGGGGAGATCACTACCCATAGTACATTGGTCAAATGACTCAGGTGCAGTGAGGTGCAATGTCTGAGCCACGTACTAGAGTTGGCTTTATTAGTCCTAACCCACCAAGTACTTCCCAGGTAGCTGAATCAGGTGGAGAGGCAAGGGGTAAACTTCCCTCTTGAGGCTGGCTCCTGTCTTCTCCCCACTTCACATCAGTCAGGAGCAGAGACCAAGAAGAGGCAGCTGTGTTGGACCTTGGCTATTCCCAGCCCTTCCCTAGCTTCTGACATGTGGGTCAGGCTCTCTTCCTGACCCCCAGAACCTCACCAGCCCTGACACCGCAGGTCCAAAGAAAGCATTCAAATAAATGTATTTTGGATCTGCAAGTCACCTTAAAAGCAAGTGTTGAAAGGCTGGGGAAGAAGGCAATTGGGATAGAGAAGGGACCAGGATGGCAAAGATTGTTGGAAATGAACACTCTGGATAAAAAAAAAAAACGGCTGGAAATAGGTAATGGAACAAGCAAGATAACCTCTCAGTATCTGTATTGCAGACCATAATGCCCCAAAGGGGAAGGAGAGAGAGAGAGAGAGAGACAGAGACAGAGACAGAGACAGAGAGAGAGACAGAGACAGAGAGACAGAGACAGAGACAGAGAGAGAAACAGAGACAGAGAGACAGAGAGAGAGAAGGAAAGTGCCTGCCATAGAGACAGGCTAGGGAGTAGGGGGGTGGCGGTGGGGAGGGAAACTGGGGACATTGGTGGTGGGAAACCTATACTGGTGAGGGATGGGTGTTAGAATATTGTATGACTGAAACCCGACCATAAACAGTTTTGTAACTGTGTATCTCATGGCGATTCAAGAAAAAGAAAAAAGAAAAGAAAAGCAAGTGTTCTGTTTTCTAGCATTGAAAGAGTCCTCTAAAAGCCTACTGATAATATTTTTACAACAACTAAGTATTCATTGCATTGTGGAAAAGCTGCCCTCTCCCTCCTACAAGGTCTTGGTTCCCCCTCAAATCCTATGCCCAGATCCAAAATCAAAGTTTTAAAGAGAGAGAGAGAAAGAGAGAGAGAGAGAGAGAGAGAGAGGGAGGGAGGGAGGGAGGGAGGGAGGGAGGGAGGGAGGGAGGGAGAAGAGAGAGAGAGAAACCTTACGGCATCTATTTCCAATGCACCTGCCCGCCCTGAGGCTCATGCAGATGGTGAGGGGAGTCTCCTGGCCAGTGCTGCTGATGGCGTAGCAGAAGTTGATCCAAGCACCAGTGACCCCAAAGCCCACCAGGACTGAGCCCCCTGTGGCTCACCCAGGGAGGACTTGGGCAGTTATGTTCACATTTATTCCCAAGGCCAAAGAGGAAATTCTGCATCATCACCTCAGCATGAGGACTAGTGTCCAGGCTCTCAGCAGAGATGTCCACGTGTGGCTTCTGCTTGTGCAAGCTGGGCAGTGGAAAGGGAAAGCACCCAGGCCCCCAGCTCTGCCAAGCGGGGGTCACCAGCCTCACGGTGGAAACATGAACAGCCAATGCGAATGGCCCCTCCTCCCTTCTTAAGGGTATGAGGAAGAATCACTTGGTGAATGTGAACTAAGCCTTGAACAAACTTGTGCTAGGGAAGAAAAATCCCCCTGGTATGGGTCATCCCATTCTGGTGCAATTTCAGAAGTTTTTGCTCTCGACTGTTACCCCGACTCAGCCTCTGCTGTAGTGTTTGAAGAAGCTGAGTACAGAGTGGGCTGAGCCATCTTGCCTTCACTTGGACCTGCAGAGACACAGGCAGGACTCCGGGGAGAAGCCTGAGACAAACAGCTCCAAGTCTGTGGGTGGTAGGTGGGCCTCACCACCCTTGTCTGACTTAGCGAAGAATGCAGTGAGCTAGACCATCAAGAGTTGAGCCTTTAGTTAGTGTTTTCCTCGTAGACGTTCCTCAGATACAGCTAGGGAGATAGGATTTGTGGTGGTCACCAAATATTTCTTTTACTACCCAGAAGTTGTCACTCCATGGGGTCTACCTTTAGGAGATATGGGGTGGAGGGTCGGAGCTCATTTCACTCAAGCCCAAGGTTTTTTAAAAAAATTTTATTGAATCACTGTGAGATATAGTTACAAGCTTTCATGTTTGAGTTACAATCACACAATGATCAAACACCCATCCCCCAACCAGTGCACATTTCCCACCACCAATATCCCCCGAATACCCCCCTTTCCCACCCTCTCCCTGTCTCCATGGCAGACATGGTTTCCCATAATCTCTCTCTACTTTGGGGCATTATGGTTTGCAATACAGACTTGAGAGGTTATCACATTTGATCCTTTATCTACTTTCAGCACACATCTCCCATCCCGACCGATTCCTCCAACCCTCATTTTCTTAGTGATCCTTTCTCTATCCCAGCTGCCTTCTCCCCTCCGCTCATGAGGCAGGCTTCCAACTAGGGAGCAATCTTCCTGGCCCTTGTATCTACTGTCCTTGGGTGTCAGTCTCATGTTATGTTATAAAAATATGGCACACTTCATGAATTTTCGTGTCATCCTTGTGCAGGGGCCATGCTAATCTTCTCTGTATAGTTCCAATTTTAGTTTATGTGCTGCCATAGCAAGCACCCCAAGCCCAAGCTTTGAGACTCAGGGAAGAAAGGTACCCTGAACAGGAGGCTGAAAAATCTACACTGGGGGTCAATCCAGGGGATACTGAGGCAGTGCCAATGGTAGGAACCCCACTGGGCTTCTTCCAAAGAGCTTTGAACCTTGTTTCTGTTCTTCCCAATAGCTCGGTGACCTTGAACAAGTCCTTTGTCTCCTCTGAGCCTCAAAGTCCTTCTCTGATCCTACAATGACCTAACCCGGAGGGTCCCCTGAGCATGGAAGAAGGGGGAGTTCGAGACATACACCTGACAGTGTCTGCCCCAAGCCCTGCCCTGTACATGAGGGACCGTTTGCTTTCTCTCTCATCTGCTTTCACACTGGTGAAAGGGGGGTCACAGAACAGAGCTCACACCGCACTGGCATAGCAGAACAGAAGGATGTAAACTATAAGAAGCACAGATAGAACGTAAAGTCTAACCCCTGTGCATAGCCAGGTGTGACCCAAAAAGTCCCGTCCCCCCACAAAAAATACAGAGGAGTGGGCTTGATTTGGTGCTGAGCACAGGTAAAACAAAGTCCTGAGACTTGGCTTGAGGATCTAGGATCAACAGTGACACTGTTAATAAAATATTAGGTTCACTATGCAGCTGTCAGGAAAAATGAAGTCATGAAATTTGCCTATAAATGGATGGGTATGGAGAGGATCATGCTGAGTGAAATGAGTCAGAAGGAAAGGGACAGATATAGAATGACTGAGTTCATTTGTGGGATATAAAAATAGAGATATAGTAGAAGAAGAATATCCAGGGCCAGGGAAAACAGTGGTTAGGAGAACTGGTCAATGTTTGGATCTAACCACAAGTGTGTGTGGGGCTGAGGGTAGGTAAGATAGAGAAGAGACCAGTATGACAATAATAGCTGGGAATGATCACGCTGGACAAGATCTGGGGGTTAAAAGTAGGTAAAGTGATATTCTGGATAACCTTTCAGTTTTCAGTATCAATGTTGCAAATCACAATGCGAGAGAGAGAGAGAGAGAGAGAGAGAGAGAGAGAGAGAGAGAGAGAGAAAGAAGAAAAGAACCTGCCATAGAGACAGGCAGCGGGTGGGGGTGGGGTGATGGGAGGGAACCTGGGGACACTGGTCCTGGGAAATGGACACTGGTGGAAGGATGGGTGTTAGAACACTGTATGACTGAAACCCAATCATGAATGGCTTTGGAATGCTCCAAAAATATGTATATGAATTAATTAAAATTTAAAAATTAAATAAAATATTCGGTTCAATTTGAAAGCAGCAGAATTCTGGAAGTGCTTCCCTTCAAAAAAAATGAAGGATAGGGGCCAGGCAGGAAGGGAAGACCAAACCAAAGCTCTTTGTCTACTAGAAACCTGGCTATGGGTCTCCAACAGTGTTAATGAAGAGACTGACAGGCAGGTAGGAGGGTCCTCTGGCAGTTAACTGCAGGCAGCCATAAAGCTGAGAAATGTTTGGAGAGACAAGATAGAATCTGAGCAGTTATTCTGTTGCTGCCTGAGACATTTAGCCACAAAATGGTCGGACTCTCTCTGGTGAAAACTCCCAGGCAGAAACCAAGCCCCTGATAAGACTCAGAAAACAGAGAACCCATCAGGGTTCAAAGTTCTTTTCCTTGACAATAGCATAGCATTGACTCTGAGCTGCCCAAAGAAGCATCTTGGAGAAGACACTACACGACCGTCTTCTCAAAGCAGCTTCCTCCCAGAGTCGCCTGCATTCTTGCTTTGGGTGTGTGTAATCTTTTTCATTTATTTTACAGCCCTCTGTTAAAAAAAAAAAATGGCTGTCAAGAAAAGTGTGCTCCTTAGAATGAGTGTCCTTAATAAAACTTTCTGCTCTACCATTTGTCTTTTCTTCTTTTTTTTTCTTTTTGGGTCACACCCAGCGATGCACAGGGGTTACTTCTGGCTCTGCGCTCAGGAATTACCCCTGGTGGTGCTCAGGGGACCATATGGGATGCTGGGAATCGAACCAGGGTTGGCCGTGTGCAAGGCAAATGCCCTACCCGCTGTGCTATTGCTCCAGCCCCTCCATTTGTCTTCTCTTGAGATTCTTTTCCATACTAAAATACAAAGGGCTTGGGCCCTTGGTGGAGGCTGGGACCGGGAAGGAGTGTAACCCCACCCCTGCCTGGGAACCATAGCGCCCCAACATGTAGAGTGGCGGGGAATGACTCCCAGGCTGGGCAGACCAAGTGGGTCTCAACTGCAGCTTAGCACCTGCTGACTTCCCCAGGGCATGTCCGCACCAACAATACCACAGTCATTTTTTTTTTTTAATAAAAAAGTACACTGGGCCAGAAACATCAGAAACATAGTACAGTAGGAAGGGTACTTGCCTTGCATACGGCCAACCTGGGTTCTATCCCCTGCATCAGAGCTCATCAGGAGTGATCTGTGAGCACAGAACCAGGAGTCAGCCTAAGTACCCCTGGGTGGTCCAAAAACAAAACAAAAAAGAATGCAAGAAATAAAAACAACCAAAGGAGAATGTTTGTGTGTTGGCCATGTGGAGAGGCAGAGGCCCTGTGGATGGTCCGAGGAAGTGAGTCCCATGGCCTGAGCTAGAACACCAAGAGCCCCTTCTCAAAAGATACATTAATGAAGCATCTTTAGGGATAAAGGTGAAGACAAGAGCAGAAAGTTTCACCCTACAGATTATGTTACTCTCTAAAAACTGTGATGATGGAAGAAAAAGACCATTAGTGTTTCTGGTTTTACGGGAAAATGATAACAGTGTCTGAGTGACTCAGTTAAGAGCTTCAACTGAAAGCGCATGATTTCCTTGAGAAGTAGCTAGTCTTTGTCTTCTGTGTGTGTGGGATGTGATCGTCTTCAGTGTAGAATGCAGAATTTTAACTGGGGTTTGGGCAAGAAGATGAAGTAGGAGCGCCAGCTGCCAGAAAGCTTGGTCCCCGGGTTCCCTGGGAAGCTCTTCATCCTGGGAGCCTCCCTTATATATCATCCCTGTCTTCTCAACAGCAGTTCCACCCTCTTACTACCCCTGGTCCTTGTCTCTGTGGCTCCGGGGAGGTCTGTCTCACACTGGGAAACCACCCCCGCCTGCACAAAGGCTCTATCATCACACACAATGTGTGCGGTCCACAAATAATCTGATATAATCTGAACCAGAATCATCTGCCAGATTGGATAAAGATTCCCCAAATAGTTGCCCCCAAGCTCCCAGGTATTAATGCTACTTCAAGAGGGTCACTGTCTCTGGTTTGCTTAGGACTTCCTCTGAGGGGGCACAGAACCCACCACTGAGTTGAGATGACCCTGACCAGAGTGGATATCCATCCTGATCACTGTCTAGCCATGCTTTCTTAGAGATCTTGCCATGTGCAAACAATTATGCTTTATAAAAATATATGCCGTAAGGGACCTGACTCAGCGATGAGTAACTCTGCCCCATAAATAATGGATGGATCTCAGATGTGCTACACAAAAGAAAGTCACATTCGAAAGGCTCCAGACCATAGGCTATGTTTTCTGTAAGACATTCTAGAAAAAGGCAAAACTGTAAGGTCAGGTGGGGCTCTGGGGCCCCAGCACTGCAGGGACCAAGTAACTCTGCATCCTTTATATTGAACTACTGAGCTGGTTAGCCAAAAATTGCCAAAATCAGCCCCTGATCCCCACTGGCAGGCCCCTAAAATTGATAAGCAAAAATAAACTCATAGAACGACAGTGAAATAGTTGGTTTCAAGAAAAGAAGGTTAAAAGTGAATCAGGTAAAGGATAAGGTAAAGGTAAAGGCCCTCCCATTGATCGTCGATTTGCTCGAGCGGGCCCAGTAACGTCTCCATTGGAGACTTTGTTGTTACTGTGTTTGGCATGTCGAATACTCTCAGTAGCTTGCCAGGCTCTCCGAGAGGGGCGGAGGAATCGAACTCGGGTTGGCCCTGTTGGCCGCTTGTAAGGCGAACGCCCTACCGCTGTGCTATCGCTCCAATAGCACAGGTAAAGGATATTGACTTATAATACTGTAAGATGAAACCTATATAAAATTACTTCAATAAAAAATGCAAGCAAACATAGCTTTACCCTTCAAGGAGTGTGTGGAAGACAGTTTTATGAAAACAGCAACACATCTCTTCCCCAACTGAGTTGATCTTTCAAATAGACAACATGCCCACCTGGCGATAGAGGGACCTGGGCAGTGGCGGCCACACACATCCAGGCTTTGTGGGTGGTTCATGGACTTCTCAGTTCTGTTCATTATGGTGCATGCTGTCAACTAAGTCATTGAGTCAGATCAGATCCAACTCAACTTCCCAAGCTTCACAACCTTCTCTTGGACTTGTATCTCTTTTTGGAGCCAAAGATCAAACTCAGGGCCTCACATAGGTGAGGCCACTCACCTGCCACTAAACTAGATCTTTGTTTGGATTTGGCTGCGTGGATCTGAGTGAATTTTTATGCTGATTACTGATATAGAAAGTTACTCTGTGATGTTGGAATGTTGAATGTGGCAAATTTTCATGAACAGCTTTATAAAAAAATAATTAAATAATCTTTTTTTTTTTTTTGCTTTTTGGGTCACACCTGGCTTTGCGCAGGAGTTACTCCTGGCTCATGCACTCAGGAATTACTCCTGACGGTGCTCGGAGGACCATGTGGGATGCTGGGAATCGAACCCGGGTCTGTCGCGTGCAAGGCAAATGTCCTACCCACTGTGCTATCACTCCAACCCCTCATTTTTTTTTTTTTATTAAAGAAAGGCATTCTAGGCTGTTCGGTGAAATCACCCAGTTGCAGAAAAGATCCTATAAAAACAGGTATTTTTTTTTAATTATTGGGAGCAAATGCAGTGTCCACTATACAGTGGGGCAAGGAGATCTAGAGCTCCCAGTTAATGTGCTTCTGTTCTGGCATTTTATTTCTCTTCTGATTGGAACACAGACTCTGTGTCAGACTCCTTCTGATTCTGTTTCTCTCCTTTCTCCAGTTGCTGTCCTGTGTCCTGTGTATCAATCT